ACATTTCATTAGGTTTAAGCAGGTTTAAGAAACCTAAGTAAGATTATTTTAAAAAATTATTAAATATATCAAGGACATAGTACTCAGATATCATATAATCTTAAAGTAGAGAGAAAGTTTCTCTGGTATACAAATCCTGTTTATTAACCAGTGGGAACAATAAGAAAAAATTGTTATTGACATTAACCAGCATTGTCGAAGCAAATCGCAATACGAAACACTATTATCAATTTGTGAAATTCTGTTTATCATGGAGGATGACAATTCGATATTGATGCAAAAGCAGGTGCGAGATAATTCGGAGGATTTGCAGAATGAATTTCTAGACTTGAAAAATTGGGAAGAGCAAATGAAACGAAAGGAGCAAGAAATACTGAGTGAACGCAACAACGGACAGGTATTTGCTGAAATAGAGAAAAGTGAATAGATCAAAGCAAATGAATAATATTGAAGAATAAATAGTATCATGAGTTTATTGATTTAAGGTCTTTAAGAGAGATTTGAATATATTTTATATTTATATTTGATAGTAAGATATGTTATACATTTCAGCAAATTATACCGCCTGTCAGAAGCAAGAATAAAAAGAAAAAGTGTACAATAAAAGAAAACATAACGTCTAACAATTCTAAACGAATAAAATCGTATGACTACACATCATGGGACAAATTTGATATTGTTAGTGATGTCATTTGCGTAACTTAAAGTTATGCAAGTTCTTATCTAAAGATTTGAAATTAATTTATAATAAATTGTTGCACAGGATAAAGCATGCAAGGAATTAGAAGCTGGAGAACAATCTGATGAGTCTTCGGATGAGCCCTTGTCCAAAGAAGAATTGGAGAAGAACCACAGCAAAGCGATAGAGTACAAGCAGCAAGGCAATGACTTTGTGAAGCAAAAGAAATGGGACAAAGCAATCGCTTCGTACAGCGAGGCAATAAAACTTTTTCCTTATGACGCTATCTTCTACGCTAATCGTGCACTTTGTTATTTAAAACAAGACAAGTAAATTTTATGTTTTACGAATATGATAAATAGATCATGTTAGTTTCTATTGTTAACATGTAACACCTACTCAATGTCATTATGTGGCAGCCTGTATTCAGCAGAAGCAGATTGCTCATCTGCGATACAATTGGACAAAACTTATGTGAAAGCTTATCACAGACGAGTAACAGCCAGACTAGGATTAAAGCAATTTGATGCAGCATTAGAAGACGTAAAGAAGATTACAGAATTAGAACCTTGCAACAAGGAAACTGAAATCTTGCTTAACCATATTAAAAAGCAGTTTGGAGATGTATGTATTTTTTTATTATTATTGAAATGTAAATTTTGATAGTTATGTATATGTATTACATACACATATATATTTTAGTCATTTATGTCCAAAAAAAACATATGTACAACTGATGTATCTGATAATAAAAAGATAGATAAAAAAGTAATTGACACTAAGGAAGATCAAAATAAAAAGAATAGCATAAATGTAGATAATGAAACTGTAAAGCCAACAAGCCCAACAAATATAATAGAATCAAGGAAAGATCGACGCATTCCAGATTGGTTACCCGAAAAGGATAATGTTGAAATTATAGAACCTATTGAAAAACCTCCACATCTGCATTCGAAGGTAAATTTATGCTATTATGTTTTATGATATATATATTTATAGCAATATAATTAAATTTCAGGTTTGGCAAATGTTACTTTTCAATTACTTTGTCGTTACTTTTTATAGTAAACAATTTGATGACGATGTTGCAATTTTTTATGACGGTAACGCTAACTAAACGCTAAGGTTGTACTAAAGTTAGAAAAGCCACTTTGAAAAGTAACTTGTCACTATTGCGCGTTACACTGAAAAAGTTATAAGTATAACGAGTAACGCGTAACGTTATCCGTAATGTTACTTGTTACTAAAAAATAACGCGTTACAAATTAGGAGTTATTTTTTTCAGTAACGAATGATTTTCTCAATCCATTACAAGTAACGATTGACTTTTCTAACTCTGATGTTAGCATTACCATCATAAAAAATTCACAATGTCATTAGCAAATTGTTATTATAATAAGGTAACGATCAATAAAATATATATATATATATATAAAACACATTACTTGCCAACCCTGCTAAATTTTGATTTTAATTAGGAGCCATTGAAAAGGATACCTGTGCAGGAGGCTGATTTAAGTAAACCTTTTAAAGAGAAGATCAAAGTAATATGTAACAATCAAGTAGAACTGAAAAGCAATGAAACATGTAAACCAGAAGAAAAGTTTATTGAAAATTGTGAAGAAATACCTCCTATCCCTACCAACTCAGTGCAGTTTTTAATAAATTGGAAAAAGTATACTTCGTTTGATTTTCGATACAGATATTTAAAGGTAAGTAATAAATTTTTGCATATGAAGAGTATGAATTATATTGAATTTCTTTTTAGCAAATACCATCAGGTAGCCTGCCTAAAATATTTCGAGATTCAATGGAAACTGATATCTTCAGTGGTATTTTAACAACACTCAAGACAGAATTTATGAAACGGAAGGAACCTATATTTTCGTATTTAAAAGATCTCAGTAATATTAAGAGATTTAGAGCATTTATTATGTTCATCAGTAACTCTGAAAAACAAGGTGTGTACAACGATGCACATTTTCTCTTGTATAATGGATGTAAAAATAATATATACTGACTTAAAATATTTTTAGATTTGAAGCTTATGTTCTCGTATTGTAATACGTCTGAAAAGATATCTGAGGAAGAAATTACAGACTTACAGGATAAATATGAAATTTAATAAAATTTGGTTAAATTCTAATGAAAAAGTTACGAATTAAATAAGGTATATATATATATATACTACTTAAGTATTATAACAGACATGGATTTTTTTTGACAAGTGAATAAATTGCTTTTTCTTTAAATTGTGTGCAAACATTTACTCATTATATTTGATCATTTTATGATCAAATAGTTTTAAGAAAAAAATTTGTTATGGAAGATTTCTAAAAATTTATCAACGAAAAAATAAGGGGCATACACCACGAACGCAAGATTAGTTTATAATTGATTACAAAACATATAATCGAATTACAAATATTACATATAGACGTTTCAACCTTAAATTAGACCATCTTCAGTATATAAAAATTTTCTTTACACGCAAGCGTATGACTGATCTAAGTTTATTAATCTCCTAACATGTCTAATTATTTCGCAAGAATGCTCGTTAACTAAGTTGTTTTTCCTTTTTTTTTATATTAATATTAGTCCAAAAAGTTTCGAATAATATCCAAAGAAATTCGTCTTTTGTCACAATTTTTCCAATTGTTCGTAATTCGTTGTTAATTGAATAAAAATTTATTTATATTTTAATATATATACAGGGTGTTTCCAAATTAAATGGCAAAACTTCGGGAGCGTGTAGAGGAGTAAAAAACTAAGAAAAAAAGTCCTATAGACATATGCTCGTTTTTGCTCCGTTTCAGAGAAATCGAAAAAAAATGTTTACATTTCTTGCCATATCTAGCACCGACATATTTGATTACATTTTCCACTTTCTGTTATGAATTTGTCAGTCGCTCTTTGAAAGCCTTTAACAGTAGATGAATTTTGTCTTTTGCAATATGCCGCGTACGTATTCTAATAGTGAATATGCTGATATGGTTTTTGTATACGGTTTCTGCAACGGTAATGCTTTAAAGGCGGTGCGAGAATATGCACGACGATTTCCAAACAGAAGAGTGCCAAACCGAAGAGTGTTTATGTTGACATTTAATAGATTGCGAGAGACTGGATCATTTTCAATTCGACAAGAAAACAACCGATTTCAAGCAGCGTTACGAAGAGATTTGCAGGCA